CAACATACAGCATTCCTTTTCTGAAACCTGTGGCTGCCCAGCTGAAGACCAGTTATGAAGCCCTGGCATTGGATGAGGAGTCTACTCCAGTGGCAGGAGAGGTAAAACCATGCAGCCCTAGGGGTGGATGAATGGAGGCCACTGCTGCCTTGAAGCAGCAGTGACTGGTAGTTGTTGTTGACTCTCCTATGGGGCACAGAGGCACCCATTTGCCCACAACTGAGACATCATGGAAAGGTTGCTTTGACTAGTGTCCCATGCTGCTCATCCATGTGGGCACTGAAGATACTGGCCAGGGTGATCTTGAACAGACTACATGGTGCAAGGGTGAAGGGAACAGGGACTTAGGTGGTGTTCTCATTGATCCTTCCAGTCAAGGGTAAAGGCCCTTAAGGTGGCATTTGATAATAGTCCTCAAATATCTGAAAAACAATTATAGAGAGGATGGAGACAGGCTTTTCTCTGTGGCTCTAGGGGACAAAACTAGAAGTAATGGTCTCAAGCTGCAGGGTGGGGGGGGAACTTTGTTGGAGTTGAGGAGGAACTTTCTGACTATGATGGTGGTTGAAGCATTGGAACAGACTACCTAGAAAAATTATGGAATCTCCATTCTTGAAAAATGTCAAGAGTAGACTGGACAGACACTTGGCTGGGATGATTCTGCCTTGAGCAGGGGCATGGATTAGATGACCTTGTGAAGTCTCTTCCAGCCCTGCTTTCCTATGATCCTATAGTACTGAATATGGGGCAAACACCAATAAATAAAGCAGGGAGAGAGGAGAGGATAAAAAGAGTTAGGAGGAGAGAGGGAGTTATCCCTCAGAGATTCACACAAGAGCCACTGAATTATTGTGTTGTGTAAGGACTTATGTTGTACAATGCCGATTAATTAGACTTCAGACACTGATGCTTGTACAGTAGTAGGTTCACCATTTATGGATCATTGAACTATACATTCAGATATGGCGTATGTAATAGGATCCACCTCCAGACCCATGGCTGTGATGCCCCTTAGTACTTACTCACTCTCTCCCCAGGGCTACTGCTAGGGAGGACAGCTAATCATGTTTCTCACCTTTCCTCCCCAGGGCTACTGCTTTGCTCTTATCTGCCATGTCTTGATGGAAATTTTATATAAATTTGGAAGGCTGCATTCAGAATACCTGAGTGAATCTGTAGGGGTCTCACTCTATCCTGTTCATCATTGAGCCAGCCCACACTGGCCCAGTCTTTGCCTCTGAGTCTAAGCAGGACATATCTCCCCTTTACTGACCTCTAGTGGCCCACTCCCACAAAGTCCTGGAGAGTCATTAGGATCCACTCCCCCTCAATACAGGGATGTGAGCCTTCAAATTCAGTAATGCAATACATGCCCACCTGCTGGACATGTTCAGCAGCCTCCCATCTCTCCTACTACTGCCCCTGGTGGCCAACACAGACTAAGAAAACAGAAATTTAGCTTTTTGCTGGTATCTCTCTAGTACTGCAGAGCTCTTCAGTTGATCCTAGCATGGACCAAACTGACCCTCTCCTGCCCTGGAGCTGGATTTATGCATCTTAGGCCCACTACTTCTTCCCATAAAAAATAAACAAACAAGGGCTGAGACCTTTATTGGGTTAAGAGCCCCTATTACAGTATATCCTTTATAAATAAGGTCATGTATGTCTTTATTTGCTACATGCTATCTAAATTCTCGACCCTATATATGTATATAATTTCACATGCAACAAATGGTTGATTAACCTCAGAGCACGCATATAGTATTCCATTGCTAGTTGCAGAAATTTCCTGTTTGTAGGATTTCAAGTGTTTACCATTTGGGAAAGAAATTAAAGCAAGACTTAACCTCTAAGTATTCACATAATTTGGCATCATTAATCTGGAACTGCCTGTAAGACCTTGTTACAGAGAACCTTGAGGTACTTCATTACTTTCCATCACTAATAAATATCATTTGTAGTGCCAGTGGCAGAGTTCCTAGATCTTGTAAAATGGTTAAGGTCATATATACAGAAAGCTAGAGGGCTTAATGCAGAGAAGGATTAGTCAGTCTTAAATGAGTCTGATAATCACGGGCTATCCTCTACAATATTGTGGAATGCAACACAGAACAGAAAACATAATTCAAACAATTTACCATAATTGTAACCCTTAATTGAGGAGAGGCCATGGCCCAGGACTCCAAGATAAATAAATGTTCTTCAATTATTCATTCAGCTTCTACACATCACTTCATATCCTTCATGTCCAAAGCCCAGAAAATAATTTTCAAGACAAGGAAGTTGTTCTAAGTTTTTGTGGTTATTAGTAGTATCATGAATATTAAAGACGACTACTTAGTTTCCATTTTTTATTAAACACATGTCCTTTGTGAGCAAAGATAAGTTCATCCAGCAGGGGGAGGGGGAAAGAAAAAAGAAACGAAGTGGGAAAGAAAAAAGGGAGAGAGAAAAGCAAAAGGAAAAAAAATGGAAAAAGGAAAGAGAAAGGAGAAGCTAGGTTGAGTGGGTACATAGGTGACTTATAAGCCTGATCTTTGCCTTCAACAGTCTGCTGCAGCAGAGACAGGAGAGCGATGAGAACTGGATATGGGAGGTTTTTTCATTCATGGCCATGTTTCTTCACTTCTTCTGCCACACATTGCTATTCAAAGGCCAGTGCTCCGTTCTGGATTGATGACCTCCAGGATGGATGTTCATGAGCGATTTGCTCCCATGACTTTGGGTCGATGTTATAACTCTTTAGGGACACCTTTAGGGTGTCCTTGTACTGCATCTTTGGTGCGCCACAAAAGTGTACTCCACTTGACAACTTGCTGTTGAAGATTTTCTTTGGAAGGCGAGTGTCAGGCATTCTTGAAAGGTGGCCAGCCCATCTTAACTCTGCCATTTTCTGTAGGGTGCAAATACTGGGGAGAGCCGATCTTCTGAGTACTTCAGTGTCTGGGATCTTGTCCTCCTGCTTGATCTTTAGTAACTTTCACAGGCAACACAGGTGGAAGTGGTTTATTCTCTTGGCATGATGCTGGTAGATGATCCAGGTTTCACAAGCATATAGGAGGGCTGAGAGAATGATGGCTTTGTAAACCTTCACTTTCCTCAACATTCTGATGCCTCTGCAGTCCCAGACCGACTTACAGAACCTGCTGAAGGCTGTGCTGGCTTTCACTAGTCTCTCATTGACTTCATCGTTGATGTGGAGAGTAAGGGAAAGTGTGCTGCCTAGATAGACAAACTTGTCAACCATCAACAGTTGTTGGCCTTTAACTGAGATGTGCCTGGCACAACATCTTACTTAAAGACCAACCACACAGGTTGAAACATCACTTTTATTGAAAACTAGGCACCTGCACCTAGTTTTCAATAAGCACCCTTAATATGTATGATTTTCAGCAGGCCACAGAAATATTTTGCTTCAATACACTATGATGGTGCTTCACTCCCATTCTCCTCTATGGGCCACACTCTCCGTTTTGGTTTTTGCCTCCCATGATGCAGTATGCATGCAAGTGTCATTAGGGATCCCTTTTCCTCATCAAGAGATGAGATCATAGTCCACCATGGAGCCAGCTACAGACAAACTTTGGAAACATCAAGGGCCCAATTGGTAACCGTCATAAAGCACTGTGACAGCAGTCCAGAAATGAAATTTTTCAGAGGCAATTTTTTTCAGCTTTTGATTGTCATAAACTAAAAATTCCCTAAAAAATGCTTTCAATTTTCTGCCAAGCTCTGTTTGGACTACTAGAAGTCAAAATAAAATCCAAGGTGCTTATGCATGGAATAAGTTTTTTGGTGTTTTCTCAAATTCCTTCTTCTGTTCACTCTCAGTATATACATTTTATAAATATTTAGGTATATTTATAATTTATCCAATTCATAAATTAATTTATGCACACAAATATAATCGTACATACTTGGTACACTTTATGTGAATTTACATGTATATATATTATATGCAATTTTTTCTCATATGTAAGTGCTTTTATATAACACACACTGTGATATATTAAAATAACAAATTGATAATATATATAGGGAATATATTATGTATACTTAAAGTGATTTGTAAATGTATTGTATATTTCAAATGCAATAAACCTAGGTAGAAAGTACTAAATCTTCCATTCATGCAATAATCAAACTTATATGAGAAAAAAATTGAAAAAGGGTTATGACAGTCAGACCTTTTCCACAAATTGGAATAAAAGAGGACAGATTTTTGTTGCTGATTTCCTTTATCACATTCATTAGAGCAACATTTTCTCTTTAAACTTTTAAATATCATGACAGTTTTATTAGAATGTGTATTTCCCAGCATAGAAATCTTTAGTATAGTCTGTTTGGTGATAGAAAGTGGATTAGGGACATTCAGGCAAAACTGAATCAGTATTTAAAGCAATAGATTTGGTCGTTATAATTTTCAGGGAGGGGCAGAAATGTAATTTTTGATATTTTTACTCTTTCAGGATGATCCTTTAGCTTTATTTATTTTTACTTCTAGAGATATCACAAACTTCAAGTTGAATGAAACTGGAAAAGTTTGACACAAATGGCTCATTGTGAATGATTGTAGCAGACTCCAAAGAGGACTGCATACTCAGTGAGATGGGTGATCCCTAATGACACTTGCAGATACACATAGCTTGAATTCATATTATTTGGTGGTACATTAACATACAATTTAAGTTCTATGTGTATAGCTACACACACACACACACACACACATCCCCATAGTCTCATCTATATCATATTTATATTTATGAATATGTATAGAATAACAAAGGCAAGATATGTCTTGTAAAGCATTCCTTTATAAGGTGGAATTTAATATAAAGCTCAAAGAAGCACATATTCTAATTATACTATAAAAGCTTTCAGTTTTGTTTCTCAAGTTATGGTGAGCCCCCTTTGCAACATGCTAAGTGCTCTATATGTGTTTAGCAAAGCTTTTTATAAAACAACTAACTCCACAATTATAATATTTTAAAGATACTGACCTGCATTAGAGTAGATTAGTCCTTCAAGAGGAAGCAGTTCACTCTGTTGAAGAAGCCCAATGATTGGCATTTAAACAAATAAGTGTCCCACTAGAACCTTGAATCCCAAAAGAGAGAGCAGAGAGGGGCAAAATCTGGGTGAAGGAGCAGTTGAGGTAGGACACAAGCTGGGAGCTGAACTGTTCTGCTACCAAGAAGTACAGTGCTGGAGCCAGAGCCCAAGAGCCCTTCCTGCACCTGGAAGAGGGCCAAAGAATTTTATTTGTGTAGCAAGCCTTGGGGGGGGGTCCACCACCCTGGCACCTGGTGCCCCCCACCTGGTCCGACCCACCTGCAGGCTCTTTCCCAGCTTCACATCACCTCCAGTCTGTCACCTGCAATGACTTTGATGCTATCTTTTGGGTTTATTGGGGAGCCAGTCTCTGGGGCCAGGAACCTTCATGGTTCCCTCAACAATTGGCTGTACCTTCATGGCTAGGTCCACCCTGTACTTGGGGTCTATGCTAACCCCTTAAGTACTTCCCCTTTAAAAGGAGTGCTCCTGCAGGTTTCCAAGGAGTTTCAGCCATCCTAGCCTTAGCTCACTTTTTCTGGCCCCATCCTCAGATTTGGTTCACTGTTAAGAACTCAGCTTCTGGACACTGGCCCTGACTTGGCCCTCCTGGAACTCCAGTTTCACTCCACCAAATTCAGTCCCTCTAGCTTGTGGCTGGCTAGCTCCTGTTGCTAACAGTAGGGAATGCCTCCCAGGCACCTCCACCCATGACCTACTCTTCCTCTGTAGCCACAACCTGGTCCTCTGGTTGAAAAACTCTGGAACCAAACAACAACCTATCTGGTCCTGACTTAAACCCCTCTGAGACTCAAGCTCTGCTTCTCAGGCCAGGGATTCTGTCCTTTGACAGCCAGGGTAAGACTCCCTTTTCATGGTCAGGGACTGGATTTATATGTCCAAGCCCAGACTTCTGACCATATGACCAGACTGCCTGCACCCAGGTGTCATTTGCTGCTAATTACCATTGACAGCTTGTCCTTCTTAGTCCACCTGTGCATCTACTACTCGCTGCCATTTCTATCCCCAAGTTCCCTGAACTCCCACACCTTCCCAATAACAGGGCAGGAATTCCCTGTTACAGTTCATTTTGTTACAGGTGTTACTGTTCATTTATTTGGTTGTTGTTCAAAAACTGAGTATTTCTTTGGAAGAATAGCTGAGGAGCTCCTCAGGAAACCAGCCTGTAGAAACCAACAGGCTGAAACACTCGCTTGCATGGCCACTGTGATAATTTTATAGAATCCAGTCCTAGTTCTATGGTCTTAAAGATTGTGTTGATAGAAACATATTAACATATTGATTATGTTATTATAACCTGAAAAAAAGACTAGGTAATAAATTTCAGTCTGTTCATCTTCCGCTATTAGTAGAAGGAAAATAAGCTTGCTATAGCAAATGCTGTTTGTTGCATTATTGTTCTCACATCGTTTCTGTATTGGTTGCCTTATTGGTCAAGCACCCCTTATGTTAGGATGCCAAAATCTAGGTCTCTGGCTTTTTACATCTGAAAGACGTGTGTCAAATAAGAGTAAGAATTAGATTGCAAGATTGCAAGTTGAAATGTAACATGTTTTTAGACTTAAAGAATATTGATTCACTAACAGAAAGCAGGCCATCTGCAAAGCTTTACATGCTCGCTCACACACACACACTTTAAAGCTATAATGAAATAGAAGTCAAAAGAAAAGCATAGATAAATTAATATTGCTAATGAAAAAGAACAGTAATATAGGGACATAAAAGGCAGAATTGGCTATGTCTACACATGAGCTTTAATGTGTAGTAGCCTGTTTTATTAGGCATTAAAGCATCATGTAAAAAAAATATGCAATTATGCCAATGCTCAATAAAATAGACTACTGAACATTAAGAGTCACTTTAAAAATGTGCACTTATGGTACAGCGCATTAGGGCAGCCTAATGCACATTTATTTAGAGAGCTCTGAGAGCCTCTTTAATTAAAGCACCCAGATCGCCATGTGTATCAACATCCCCATGCTGAAAAATGGCAGAGGGGGCACTTTAACTAAAGCTCATTGAACAAGCTTTTGTTAAAGTGTCCCTGCCACCATTTTTTAGTGTGGGGATCCTGGTGTACATGATGCTGATGTCTGCTGGAGCATGGGAATCTGCTTGGAGTGTGGTAATTACCATGCTCCAGCAGACTCGATTAATAACAGCATGTCAAAGCAGCCTCACTGGATGTGTACAGGCAACAGGAAGCATTAAATTTAATGTGCACCTGTAAGACACACCCTCCATGTACCTAAAACATCATTGTTCAGACATGTAAATGACATTTGGGGCACTTCCACGGAGATTCCATTATCCATGCACCATGGACACACGAACATATGTGCATATATTGTGCATATTTAGTAGGCTGTGCTTTGGCTATGTGAACCTACTTAGTGCGCACACACAACGTCACAAAATTGGACGTGGACAAAATCCCCCAACTAAGGGTGTTAATTGCCAAGGGAGGAGATCTACAAATCCATGTTTTATCCTCAGTATCTGAATGGTTAGGAATCAAAAAGCTAGAGATCAAGATCCTAGGCTCCCCTCATGCAGAGAACACGTACACCTGCTTTTCTCCAGCTCCTCACTAGTGTTTTAACCACCCAACCATAAGTGAGGCATTATTCAGTGCCCTCTCCAACTCCACTTTTGAAGCTGGCGCCACTGGTCAGCCAAGAGAATGAGAGATATATGGCTAGAAAGATACATGGAGAAAAAGATCAAGATAAAGCATGTGTGTATTGATAAATGGTTGCTACTCTGAAAGGGAGTAGTTACTGATTCTAGACTGGACCATTGCTCCAAAGTGGGCAGCAACTTCTGACTACTCTATCCATTTTATCCAAATCTTAAATGCAAGGTGCAGTGGCTCAATGCCAAAAGGTGCACTAAAAATAAGGACCTGGATAATGCCTGACCTGTGATGTGGGATTAGAATATTGTACAGTGAAGTCAGAGAAATACAGGTTCAAATCCCTTAAATGACAGGCCAAAATCCAGGTCTCCACTTTTCTGGACAAATACCTGAATCACTTAGATATCGTGGCTGAAACATGGGAGGGTTCTTCGCCCATGGGGCTTAACATCAGCATACGTGTGCATAGATTCCCAGCCAATGCATAGCTTCCTGGGCAGGCACTGTATGCATACATATGTTTACATGTCTACATCATACAGGTAATAAAATTGCAAATTGTATACAAGTATCCAAAACAACACTTGCATTGAGGTAGTGCCAATTAGGTGCATCGGCACAAAATGGCTCATTACTGATCCATCATACCAGCTATTTTAGTATTCTAACACATTTCTACTTTTGGTTCCCACTCTTCTTCCATTCTGTCTCACCATTCCAAAACCAACTCTGAATGTTTCTAGTAACTATCCACCCCTGCTTCAAAGTACCTCATAAATTATAATTTATCATTGGCCTTAGATTGACTTGGACTGACTTCCCATTGAACACCTTGAAGAGGGAATTACTTTGTAAATATGTGAATTAAACTGAAAAAACTTGACTTCACATTGGATGCGACTGTTTTTCCATCCCTCTGCTGTGTTTTGTATGACAGTGATTCTTAACCTTGGACCTTTCAAGGTTGCCATGAGGTGCCATGTAATGTCAGCACCGTTAAGTGTTCAAATCATGATTCACAAGATTAACCCAAATATTTCAAATAGGAATCTCTAACCTTTTGTGGTCTTTCTGCATTCTTTCCAATGCAACAATTGTTCTATTTTTTTCCTTAGACATAAACAAGTGAAAACTAAGAACTGGAATCTTCTGAGGAGTCCCTTGAGTCTAACAAAGATTGCCTTAAGTCTAAAATGGTGTGTCATGAGTTTAGAATGGTTAAGACCCACCGGTATATGGTGCCTACTTATATCTCAGTCTGCAAGGTTCTGAGCTTCTCCTGTATGGTATGAACATTAAAAGGTAAACCTGAAGAGGGGGAAAATACACAACTATACCCAGAAAATGGACGTGTTTATGTGGTCATCACCCATTTAAAAAAGTGAGAGAAATAGAAGAGGTGATTAATTGGATGATGAAACAGTAGAATTCTAGGACTGTAGCCCAATGGTAGAAGTAGTGTTTCCAGTAGCAGCTGCTGCAGAGACTCAATAATTTAGAGCTGTATCCAGCCACTAGTAAATCCCAGCTGCTCACAGTTCAAGTCGAGATCATAAGATGATTGATAGTCCATTTGGTCACTTTTTTGAGAGTACCTGTTATAACTCAGTTACGGTAGTCCTGATGTTTCCAGTTGGCCCTTTTTCTAATGGGAGAAAAATAAGCTGTGTATTGATTTCAGGGTATGTATATTGCTATGGACTATGAAATAATGAATTATGTTATTTTGGACTGGATGAGGGTTTTAGAAGGTAGATATGGTTTGATATTAACCATATTCCTCAGGAATGTAGCCTCATTCTTTTATTATATATCAGACAGACCAACAGAACTGTTGAATTTGGCTTGAGACCCTTAAAGCTAGAAAACTAATAAACATTTATATATTGAAATAGAAAGTCTGCTGGCAGGCTACAGTTGAATTTGATGGAAGAGCTATGAAAGAGAAGGAGAAAAGGACTTTGGGACTCCAAAGTTCAAACCAAAAAAGATGCAAATTCAATGCCTCAGGTTTTGTCAACAAAGAAGCACTTTGTATTCAAAGATCATGGAAGGCATTCACTGATGAGCAGCTGGTCACATACATGAGCTGTACGGATAATTGGATGCTTTTCATTAAGATTGTTTTCAAGAAAAATGAGTGTTCAAATGACCCAGAAATCTCAAGTAATTCAAAATGCTCAATTTTTTGGGCTTGGATTCAAAATTAATATTTTCATTTTAATTAAAAAATTGTTTGCTTTAAATTGTTCAAAAGAAAATATTTAAGTTTTTGTCCTGTTTCCCTTATTCATTAAGAAAAAGATAGTTTATAAAAAAATTCAAATGCACC